CCTTGGCTGGTCCTTTGCTGGTCCTTGGCTGGTCCTTTGCTGGTCCTTGGCTGGTCCTTGGCTGGTCCTTGGCTGGTCCTTTGCTGGTCCTTTGTTGGTCCTTGGCCGGTCCTTTGCTGGTCCTTTGCTGGCCCTTGGCTGGTCCTTTGCTGGTCCTTTGCTGGTCCTCGGCTGGTCCTTGGCTGGTCCTTTGCTGGTCCTTTGCTGGTCCTCGGCTGGTCCTTGGCTGGTCCTCGGCTGGCCCTTGGCTGGTCCTTGGCTGGTCTAAAATATTCTTTCTGTCATGATTTGTGGACATTAAGATCTAAAGAGAAGCATCATCTCCTGGTCAGACGGGAAAGAAATATGCAAGAGGGGGTCCCTCCAGTGGCTGGAAGTTGGCTGCCATTCGGCTGGCGTTTGACTACAAAGGGCCATGGCTGCTACTGTATCTTAAACAGTCCATGAGTTACAGTACGGTCTTTGAGAAGCAAGCAAAGCCTGTGAAAGACGACAGGTGGTCATCAGAGGGAATCTGCTATTGTGAGCTGTTCTTATTCATTAGCTCTTTTGAATGGGTCACGTAATCCAGAAGGGTTATAATATTAGATGTAATAATTTACACCTATCTTTGAATTGGTGTCATGTGGGTGGGTGTGTGTGTCTCGGGTGGTGGGGGTTGGGGTGTGAGTTTAGTAATTAGGCCCTCTGCCTGGAAGTAAAAAAAAAAATCAGGACATAAGAGACTTCTCACAGAGATCCTCCTCATGGTTAGAAATCTCTCAATAATCTTGTAGCTATATCAGTTTTATTGAAAGTTTTGATAAAAAAATGTATTGTTGTTATATATTATTATTATTAGAAAAAGGGGGGGTGCAATCCATGAATGTGATTTTATAGATCCAGACTCATAATAATTTGAATAATATGTATTTTAAATCTACAAATGTGTCATAAATTTGGATTTTTGCAACCCAAGTTGTGCAAAAAAAACAAAAAACAGTTCAATCAAAAAACTTAAAAAGTATCAATAGAAACTAAGAGGAACTATATCTACTAGAATACAACGAGAACTGATATGAGTTTTATTGAAAAATACTTGCTCCCCCCTTTGTCTAGAATCAAAATGTCCTCCTTGTTTCTAAGCATCCAACATACGTGGAAATTGTGTGAAATAATCCCATAAAATGAACAAATAAATTTTACTCAGCTAAAACGTCAAAAATATCAAATCACTTTTAAATATCGGACCAATCAGGACATAGCAGCTTCTGAAACAGACCATTTGGAGCTGATATCTAATCCGGGTGTCGGATCGATGCGTCTCTACGTTACACCAGAACATCCCTCTGGAAAAAATGGCTGAAATGCTTTTTTTAAAGTGGCAGAGCTGCTGATCTAACTTGTTGATGTTTCTATGAGGCACATTAGGTAGATGTTCAAATATAGAACCTTTAGACCAGGCATCTCCAAAGTTGGTCCTTGAGGGCCGCTGACCTGCAGGTTTTAGAGGTTTCCTTGCTTCAGCACAGCTGATTTTCATGGATAGCAGATTAACAGCTTTTTGCTGAACTGCAATCATCAGAATCAGCTGTGCTAAAGCAGAGAAACATCTCTAACCTGCAGGACCGCGGCCCTAGATGACAGACTTTGGGCGTTCCTGCTTTAGACGGATGAAGTTTCAGATCTGCCAGGAGGACAGAATCTGATGTGGTTCCACTTATTGCTGCTCAGCCAACCGATGATCCACATGTGCTCTCCAGACGAGTCCAAGGACACGGGCAGATAAATGGATCTGAGACACTGGGGAGTCACTTTCCTCACTTCCTCATCAGCGTGAAGCGGACCTGCGGCTGAATGTCCTGGGAATCCTGACATGTTGGTTAAAGACGACCTCGCTCCTCTGACTGCTGTCAACCTGCAGTCTTTAAGTTCAGGAGGAGGTGAGGACGGACGCTCGTGACAACATATAT